TTGTCGGAAACCCCCATATCGAACGAACCCGCAACCCGAGAGCCTGCACGGTGGCCACACAGCCACCTGAGCTGCTGATGCTTCGGGATGCGGGTTGGGTTTAGGGTTTAGGGTTTAGGGTTTAGGGTTTAGGGTTTAGGGTTGTTGGGATTGGTGGCGGTTTTAGGGCATAGAGTGCCATCAGAAACAAGCAGGTTTGGGGCTGCGGCGGCGCAGCACAATCCCGAAACCCCACCCCCAAACCCCAAACCCTAAACGAGCTAAACACAAGGAACGCTTCACTCTTCCAAAAGACCTTGCCCTAAGGCTCCATGTACCCATATAGTATATTATATACTTAGGCCTTAAAGCACCTAGATAGGGACCCCTTTAAAGCTTTAAGGCTTAAGTATCTACTATGAAGGTACATGGAGCCTTTGGGTTAAGAACCAGTCCCTTCAGAGCACGGGGCATTCTATTCTAGGCATTCCCTTCATGTACTGAGTTTCCGAAAAGTAGGGGTACCTTTAAAGGGATCCTTAAAGGGATCTGTAAGGGTTCTATAAAGAGTTTAGGGTTTAGAGTTTCCGAAACTTAGGGGTACCTTATTTTGGGTCCTTATAATAAGGATCCTGCAGTTTAGGGTACTGTAGGGTACTATGTTAGGGTCCCATGTTTTCGGATATTCCCTGCTCGACTTCTTACTCATCCTTGTAATCAGGAGCCCTATCTTCCGGTCAGGTGGATGATGGTGATGATGATGATGATAATGATAATGATAATGATGATGATGATGATGATGATGAAGGTTTAGGGTTTAGGGTGAATGATGATGGTGGTGGTGGCGGCGGCGTCAAAACACACAACCTGAGCATTCAGCCCAAAGCCCGAGGCTTTGGATTCTTGCAAGTTTTGGGGGTTTTTGGTTTTCAGGAGACCTGAACGCCAAGGCCCCAAACTCGCTGTCACTCGAACACAAGGCTACGCCCGAAACAGCACACACAGCTCAGGCTTCCTATTTCGAGAGCCAAGACCACAAGAAACCGTTCCTCATCTTGCCGTGCTACGTAAATCCCTCACTTGGAGGCCCTTTTGACTTAGTAAGTCTACTTAGTATCCCCTAGAAACCCTATTATAATCCCCATAACCCACCTTACTAACCCTACTTACTAAGTCAAAAGGGCCTCCAAGTAGACCCTACATTGTGGCTTCCGGGGGCTCATGTGGACCGAACTTCCGCTTCTATGGGTGTTTTGCACAGGTCCTACCTGCAGATCGGGACACTTTAACCGTAAACCCCATAGCCCCGAAATAAATCCAACTAGGGTTTAGAGTGAAAGCCCCAAAACCAGCAAAGCCAAGCATCTGTTCAAGAGGTCTTCGCTGAAGATCAACCTAGGCGTCGTGGGTTGCCGATGTTGGCCGACACCGGTCGAGGGTTCAGGGTTTGGGGTTTGGGGCTTAGGGTAGTTTAGGGTTCAAAGACATCCCTTCACCAGTGTTTTTGTTCGGACTCCTGCTGCAGCTGCTGTCTGAAAGCAAGCTCTTTCCTGAACACGAAACTCTAACACACCAGCCGTAGAAGTATAGGAGCCCCTCAGACAGTACACCCCGAATTTTCTCGACCCCCAAACCCAAACCCTACCCTCCCCCACAACGTTTTCGGGTGTAGGGTTTAGGGACACCACCTCCCAAAAACAAAACACACACACATATACATCATACACTTATTCGCTCGCTCACTCACTCACGAGCGACCACCATGTAGCGGCCTTGATCATTTGAATTCGCTCTCAGGCACACACATACACAAAGTATAGAACAATCGCTTTCTTCCAGCCGCGGGGCTCTTGTACTGGCCTCTTGTACTCTGGCTTGCCGTCAATGGGCTGGTACTCCTGTTGATTTCATCTTCGGTGCTTAGGACTTATAGAAACTTATAGGGTTTAGGGTGAGGTTCGAAGGCATACACGCAAACCTTCCAATATCCGTTGAGTTGTGAATATTCCCCAGACGATCGTAGGATCCCTCATATGATTGAAGGTATGTTCCTTAATGAACGGATACTGGAAACTCTGGGCAAGCTTGAGTTTCGTCACGGCTTAGGCTTGCCCTAAACCCTCAACCCGAGGCTCGTAAGTTCGATCTAGGGTTTCCCAAAGGCTCCATGTACCTTTATTTATAGTAGATACTTAAGCCTTAAAGGGGTCCGTGGATAGGCACTTTAAGGCCGAAGTATATACTATATGGGTACATGGAGCCTTTAGGGTTTTAGGGCTTGCGAGGTGTATTCTGACACTCCCAGCCCTTAGGGCATTCAGGCACAGGGTTTCCCCGGATTTGGGATCCCTCTTTTCTTGGTGCAGGGGTCCTGGGCTGGTGGCCCTGAGACATGCAGGTAGTTGTCAACACCAGGGCCCCTTTTTGCGTACCCTAAATATGAGGTGCCGTATTGTATTAGGGACCCACCCAGACCTTCCAAAATCCCTTAATTAAGGAATATCACTTAAATTATAGTAGGATCCTTAGTATGATTTAAGGTATATTCCTTAATTAAGGGATTGTGGAAGGTCTGGGCAAAAAGGGACCATAATTTTGACAACCAACCATGCACTAAACCCGAAGCCTCAAAGTCTGAGGTCCTGAAGCTTCTGATCCGAAAGCACGGCAACCGCCAACGCCCTTCACAGTGCTCTCTCTGCACGTTCATCTCCTGAAACCACGAAGTAGATGCCACAGAAATCCCCCCACAGCTTAGCCTCGGGGGGGGAACTTGTAAATTACAACAAGAACATTGCTGAGAGGTCTCATTCCTCACACCACTCATAAGCGCCATGAGTTTCAGCCCGGCCCTCACATGTGTCAAGCACTATGTACATATCGCTGCTGGAATGTTAGCTGAAACCATCATAAATCCAAGCCCTATCAAACCACCGGTCCGAAACCGTACATCCTCAACCCTAGATAGGGTTTACGGCTTTAGGTGTGAACTCGCCCCAAATTCGAAATTTTTCCTAAACCCAACTCTAAACCCTAAACCCTCAACCCCTAAACCCCAAACCCTAAATTCAATTGCCCTGTATACACAAGAGAACGGGCTCCCAGCCTTGTCTGTTGCCGTCTCGAGGACCTAAAGATCCAAATTTTCGGGATGATGTGGGGGCCTTAATAATTAGAGCAGGGTTCGGGGGTGGGGGGGGTATATTATACTACAATTATCATAAGGAGCCCCCCAAAACCTTCTTCTTCTTCTTCTTCTTAAGGCCCCTCTAGTAGGTGTTTAGTAGGTGTTTAGAGTTAGGGTTTAGGGTGCAGGGTTCCGGGTGCAGGGTTTAGTAATTCAAGTTTTTGTGGTCTTGCGGGTTTAGGGTTCAGGACGGGCCAAAGCGATTAGGTTTAGTGAGCATAGCGGTTTATAGGGTTTGGATTTTCAGGGTTTAGGATGCTTTAGGGTTAAGGGGTTTGGGGTTTGGGGTCTGGGGTGAAAGTCCCGCACATGACAAGATCACGCCTCGCACCTGTAGAGCGTTAAGGGCCCTTTGGGTTTAGGAAGTAGGGGAGAAGCGGAGGCTGGGAGGGTTCAATCAACAGTACTTAAGGACCATAGGACTCAGAAAGTGGGGTTATCAATGAGGTATACTTGAAACTAGGTATAGTCCCAAATAAGGCACTTATAACCCTACTTACTAAGTCCCTGATCCTTCAAGTCACTTGGTCGGCTAAATGCGCTGGATCATCGGGCAGCAAGCAACATGTATGCGCCGACAACCCCATGAGGGATCACTGGCTGTGCATATTAAAGATCTGACTAGCTACCTCAACACTCCAATATCACGGCCAGATATACCTCGCAAGGAGCAATCAAACGATGAAGACCTCTGCAAAGAAAGCCTAGAGACCCGGCAACACCATGTTCGAAACAGAGGCCAAGAATCGAATGCCTCAACCCTGAACCCTAAACCGCGAATGCCAAAAATCCTAGTTGCGAAGGGCGCTCATTGAAACTTACAGCGTAAAGACAAACCCTGAAACCCCAAACCCTATCCGACTATCCCTGCCGAGGCTAGCACGAGCTTCTCAGCCGCATGCACCGAAGGCAAGATCCAGGGCTTCCCCTCCTCGTACACTTCGGTTTTGGGTATATGGCTCAAGTTTTTCAGTTTGTAAAGGTTAAACCCTAAACCCTAAACCCGACTTGGTTTTGCTGTGAAAGAACTACCAGGGGTAGGTGCCATACTATAATAAGGACCAGGGACCTTAATTTTGACAACCACCCAGTTATCCGGGCTTTAGCGGGGCTTTGGGTCGAGGTTCTGGTGCATTCAATGCCTTTAGGTGTTTCTGAGTCTTATGGGATTTAGGGGCTTCGGGTTTGCAGGATTTGGGCTTTGGGCTTTGTGTCTGTTTTTTGGCTATGGTTGAAGACAAGCATGCAGAACCTACTCAAAGGATCATGGGACTTAGTAAGTGGGATTATAAATCAAGAAATAAGGTAACTATACTTGTGAGTACTTACAACCCCAATTATGGCACTTATGACCCTACTTGCTAAGTCCCATGATCCTCCAAGTAGACCCTAAACCCTAAACCCTGTAGATCCCTTTTAAGGAACCCCATAGATCCCTGTAAGGAGCCCTTTTAAGGAACCCTTACGTCTGCTAGAAGGGAGGGTCATTGCAAGTCAGGGCATGGTTGTGTGGACGAGGAGGCTGTGTGATGTGGCTACAGGGGTTTACTTGGAGGCCCTTTTGACTTAGTAAGTCTACTTAGTATCCCCAAGAAACCCTATTATAATCCCCATAACCCACCTTACTAACCCTACTTACTAAGTCACAAGGGCCTCCAAGTAGGGTTTAGGGTCGATCCACGGCCTCGCTTTTGGCAGTCTCCCTGTCATGCCGAAACTCCCCCCGTGTTCAAGGGTTCATAGCGAAATATTGTGGAATGCCCCGCTTCCTGTCAGAAACAGACTGCTTTGTCTTGCCCACCCTCAGCTGCAACTCCCAGGAATGTTCAGATGTTCATGGCATTTTCTTTGTCAACTTTGGCCTCCAGAAAGATGCGAGCAACAGCCAACTGCCCGTGCAAACTGCCATGAACACCGCACTGCGCATAGAGGCTGCGCCGAAATCCATAGTTGTGCCGTTATCCGTCTCGACCTCCGACAACACATGCGCAACCTCCAACTCTCCTGGCTGAGCCGCAACAACGAACACAGGTCCATTATCCTCACCCTGGTCTTGTAGAGCTTTGGCCTCCAACAAAAGGCGCACAACCTTCAACTGCCCGTGCTGAGCTGCAGCGAACAAAAGCATGGCTCCATGAATCGCGCCGTTGTCCTTGTCAGCCTTGGCTTCCAGCAATAGGTGCACAACGTCAGAATTGCGTTGCTGAGCTGCAGCGAACCCAGGGGTGGCGCTGTGGTTTGTGGCTTTGTCCTTGTCAGCCTGCGCCTGTAACAAAAGGCACACAACTTCCAAGTGCCCGTTCACAGCTGCAACTATTAGAGGCGCAGCGCCATCATCCGCCGCCCCTTTATCCTTGTCTGCCTTGGCCTCCAACAGTAAACGCACGATCTCCAACTGCCCTTTCTGAGCTGCAAGTAACAGAGGGGTGGCGCCGTCGTCACTGGCCATGTCCTTGTCAGCCCCGGCCTCCAACAACAAGCGCACAACCTCCAACTGCCCATGCCGAGCTGCATCACATAAAGGGGTCAAGCCGTTGCTCGTGGGTTTGTCCTTGTCAGCCTTGGCCTCCAATAAGAGACGCGCCACCTCCAAGCAGCCAGCTGCCGCGGCCAGATACACAGCTTCAGCGCTATTGATGCAGGCATCGGCATCGGCGCCGGCCTGCAGCAAGAAACGCACAACTTCCAACTGCCCGTTCTCAGCTGCACTGCATAGAGCAAGCACGACATTTATGTTGTTGTTGTCATCCTCGGCGTCCAGCAAGACACGCACAACCTCCAATTTCCCACGGTAAGCTGCAATGCACAAAGGGGTGCGGCCAATGCCAAGGTCCTTATCCTTGTCAGCCTTGGCCTCCAGCAAAAGACGTGTGATCTCCAACTGGCCTTCGCGGGCCGCATAGTACAGAGGGGTGACGAAATCACGACCAACCTTATCCTGGTCGGCCTTGGCCTCCAGCAAGAGACGCACAAATTCAAACTGTCCTGCCACAACCGCATAGAGCAAAGGGGTTGCACCATTGGTCGTGGTCTTGTCCTTGTCAGCCTTTGCCTCCAACAAAACCTGTGCGATCGCTAACTGCCCGCCTTTGTGAACTGCAGCGAACAAAGGGGTGCGACCATCATCCAGCGCCTTGTCATGGTCCGCCCTAGCCTCCAACAACAGGCGCACAACCTCCAAATGCCCTTGCTTCGATGAAAGAAACAGCGGCGTGCGGCCGTCATCCATCGCCATGTCCTTGTCAGCATTGGCTTCCAACAGAAAGTGCACCACCTCCAACTGCCCTTCATAAGATGCGAGGGTTAGGGGGGTGCCACCGTCATCCATCTTCTTGTGCTTGTCAGCCTTGGCCTCCAGCAAGATACGCACAACCTCCAACTGCCCGCACCAAGCAGCAACACACAAAGGGGTTAGGCTACTGTTCGCAGGCTTGTCCTTGTCAGCCTTGGCCTCCAACAAGAGACGCAACACCTCTAGGCAGCCACTTTCGGATGCGATGTACAATGGGGTTGGATGACCTAGATCTGGATCTTGTGGCCTGTGCAGAATTGCCTCTACAGCTGATGTCCGGCCCTGTTCTGCGGCATGCCGAAGCTCTTGTATCTCTGCTTGGGAAGTGGAGCCGAAATTTAGAAGGACGAGCTGAGCTGAGCCGGGTCTCAAGCTGTGGTCGTCGTTCTCAGCCAACAATACACCGTCGTCCAGGAACAGTCGTTGCCGGAATCTTGGCTGCCCACACCAGCTGTGTAAGAGTTGCTTCAGGGCCCGGACGGGAGAGCTTCCTGCAGCGAGTGGTTCCAGAAAGACTGCCAGCTCAATCGTCACAAGGACGTCCCCAGACACTGAGTGAACTCGCAGCATGGTGGCTCTAGGCTCTCCGGGGCTTGCCAAAGAAGATTCTGTAAGAACTCATCGAACCGGCAGTTGCTGACAACCGGACAACCGTGCCGCAACCGTTTCAATGGTATGCATTGACCTCAGAACAAAAAGGACGTCGATAGTATTTCCTTTCACGCACCCAGCAAGCATGATGATGATCATGACAGTAGCAGTCGTCGGTGCGGTCACAAAATCAATCAACTTGTTTTACTACTATGTTCTAAAATAGTCGTCGTCGTAGTCGTCTTAAACGTAGCAATCGTAGTACGCGTCTTGGTCATAGTAGTCACAACCGTCGTAGAGGTGGAAGTAGTACTAGAAGAAGTGGCAGTAGCAGCAGCAGCCGTAGCAGCAGTAGCAGCAGTAGCAGTAGCAGTAGGAGTAGCTGCAGCAGGCAGTAGCAGCAGCAGCAGCAGCAGCAGCAGCGGCAGCGGTAACAGTAGCGGCAGTAGCAGTAGCAGCAGCAGCAGCAGCAGTAGCAGTAGCAGTAGCAGCAGCAGGAGGAGTAGTAGTAGCAGCAGACGCAGTAGTGCAGTAGTAGTAGTAGTAGTAGCAGCAGCAGCAGCAGGAGTAGTAGTAGTAGTAGTAGTAGTAGTAGTAGTAGTAGTAGTAGTAGTAGTAGTAGTAGTAGTAGTAGTAGTGGAAGTATTAGAAGTAGTAGTAGCAGTAGTAGCAGCAGCAGCAGCAGCGGTAACAGTAGCGGCAGTAGCAGTAGCAGCAGGAGTAGCAGCAGCAGTGGCAGTAGCAGCAGCAGCAGCAGCAGCAGCAGCAGCAGTAGCAGTAGCAGCAGCAGAAGGAGTAGTAGTGGCAGCAGCAGCAGCAGCAGTAGTGCAGTAGTAGTAGTAGTAGTCTAGTAGTAGTAGTAGTAGTAGTAGTAGTAGTAGTAGTAGTAGTAGTAGTAGTAGTAGTAGTAGTAGTAGTAGTAGTAGTCGTAGTAGTAGTAGTAGTAGCAGGAGTAGGAGTAGGAGTAGTAGTAGTAGTAGTAGTAGTAGTAGTAGTAGTAGTAGTAGTAGTAGTAGTAGTAGTAGTAGTAGTAAAAGTAGTAAAAGTAGTAGAAGTAGTAGAAGTAGTAGTAGCAGTAGTAGCAGCAGGAAGGGTAGAAGTAGAATCAGGAGCAGGACAAGGACTCGGCGCAGCAGCAGCAGCAGCAGCAGCAGCAGCAGCGCAGGAGGAGGAGTAGTAGTAGTAGTAGCAGCAGTAGCAGCGCTAGTGTGCAATCGTCGTCGTGATGGTAGCGAGAGTGGTAGTTGTAGTCACAGCCACATTGGTTGCAGGCTTCCTGGACTCCCCCTGTCGTACAATAGGAGCATTTCACCGAACAGCCCTATCATTTAGAAGCTGCCCCACCCTGTAATAGTGACTATAAGGATTATATTAGGGCCCTATTATATTCCTATTATACCACTATTACAGGGTGCGGGCTGCTTCTAACCTATCATCAAGTGATACATACGGACAAAACCAACTGGCTCTTCCAGGACCTGTGCAGCGAGCGACACGCATCAATAAGTTGCACAGTTTGGGGGAAGTGATGCGTAGTCTGAACGGATAGTCTTGCTACTTCCTGCTGAATGTATACATAGAGCACCGTGACAGGAGCAAATCTTGCAGCGTTGTCAAGACTGCGAGGACCTGCGCACACTACAATGACTCGTTCTGATGTGGCATTCTTCGTGTGCACACACTGCTGGCAGGAGGTCCCAACGTAGTCGTCAGTTCACATTCCACCGACAGCTTGGGAAGATATTTCTGCAAAATTTGGTCCCATAGGGCTGCCGCGTTACTCACGAAGCAGTTTCTTTCGGAAGCCAAACCACTACTCTTGCCGTCGCATCTAATAAATTACTGTAACAGCCCCGAACACCCTACAGAAACCTTAAACAACCCGAAGCCCCAAACCCAAACATCCCGAAACTCGTCTGGCACCCCCTAGGGGAGCCCTTCAAGTCATCAAGGAGCCATGAACCCCCCCCAAACAGGCAGTCCTCGGTACGGTACGCCCCAACGCTCAAGTTCACCTGCACTTCGAGTGTGATCTGAAGAGCTTATACGGAGTTCGATTTTGTTTGGGGGGGAGGGGGGGTTTAGTAAGGTTTTTGGGTTTAGGGTTTTGGGTTTTGGGGTTTGGTTGCTTTTCAGGGTTTAGGGGAGCCTAGATTCAGGGAGTTTGAGGTCTAAGGTTTCAGGTTTCGGTTTTTGGGGGTGGAGGGCCTGGATATAGCACGCCAGAGGCTCGAGAGAAATAGATGTGCGTCTGGACCCCAGACCCCAAGACCCTTTCAGCCCTAAGCCCAGAACACTGAACCCTGCTTCCCACCCTCTCTGGGCCAGAAAGGTCGGGGCTCGCGTCCCGAAGGATTTAGGGTTTAGGGTTTACCTGTGTTTAGGGGCTTAGGGTTGAACCCTGGAGTACGAAACCCGGGGCCCAGCGAAACTCTCACCAAAACCTACCCGAAAAACCTTAATTAAACAGTCGTGAACTTGCAAACTCGTCTACTTCTAAACCCTGTAACACCGGCTTTTAACCACAGAATCCTGGACCGCGTAATCCCTAAATTCATGTTTTAATCCCCCAGGACTACTGAACGAGCCCTAACAGAGAAGCCTGAATATAGACTAGATGTAAATGACACCAGAGAACACCTGGAACATGATGCCACCACTGATTCAGACCACTATCAGCTCTGGAGAAACCCTTGTAGCATTCACATCAATACCCTATAACGTGTACCTGATCAAGACCCAGGACCCTGCACACTACCCACAAACCTAAACGATAGTTTTGAAACTCTGCGCGGTGAACCCTAAGTCCTCTCTAAACAGCATTCACCTCTCTTCTTCAATAACCGGGCTCACAAAAGTTCAAACTTTCCAAAACAGACACACTATGTCTGTGCAAAACAAGCACACTCTCCCACTGGCGAAGTTACACTAAAGTCAACCCCGTCAGACGTAGGTGGTTGTCAAAATTCGGGGCCCTTATTGGGTACCCGAAATATTTGGTGCCGTACAATAATAAGGACCCAAACAGGGACCCTAATTTTGACAACCACCCTAAACCCTAAACCCTTTATAGAACCCTTATAGATCCCTTTTTGGATCCCTTTAAAGGTACCCCTAATTTCTGGAAACTCCCATATACACTCTTATAGTAACCCTTATAGTACCCTTATAGTAACCCTTTATAGTAATAACCCTTTAAGGAACCCTAAGGTACCCCTAATTTTCGGAAACTCCCACGTAGCTGGAGCCTTCTTCTCAGCGGTGTCTGCCTTGAAACGTCCCACCAAGCCGAGGATCGGGTCGGCTGGTGCCTGCATCCACGAAGCTTAGGGTGTAGGGCTTAGGATTTAGGGTTTAGGATTTAATGGGGGGGTCGGTTTAATTGAAGGGTCCCCCCCCCCCCGACCAAAAAAAACATTCTATTTAATATGGAACCGGTGACGCCGGACAGGGGTCAGGGGTCTGAGTGGCAGGGAATTGGGAGGTGCCGGGGTTTGGGGGCTGGCTTGGGTGCAGGGTCTGCGGTTCTGCGCGAATGCGCGGTCGGGGGTCGGGGGGGTCTGGGGATCACCAAATGCTGGAAACCAAGCCCCGATCACTCCAAGATTACTACCAAGACTGAAAACCCTTCATTTTGAACACTTTTGCCTCCGTAACCTACACTCCCACACTCCCACCCACAATCGACCACGTCTGAAGCTTGGTGCGGTACAATAATAGTACAGTAGTACAATAGTAGCACAATAGTAGTACAGAAGTAGTACAGTAGTAGTACGATTGTAGTACCGTAGTACACTAGTAGTACAGTAGTAGTACAGTAGTAGTACAATAATATAGTAAAAGCCAGAAAGTTGGAATATGATTATCCTAAACCCTTTATGGTAAATTATAGGGTATCCTACCCTGAAACCATATTCCAACTTTCTGGAGTTCCCTTTAGTGCAGTCGTACAATAGTAATACAACAGTAGTACAGTGGTAGTACAATAGTAGTACAGTCGTAGTACAATACTAGTACAGTAGTACAATAGTAGCACAATAGTAGTACAGTAGTAATACAGTAGTAGTACGATAATAGTACCGTAGTACAATAGTAGTACAGTAGTAGTACAGTAGTAGTACAATAATAGTGCAGTCGTACAATAGTAATACAACAGTAGTACAGTGGTAGTACAATAGTAGTACAGTAGTAATACAATAATGGTACAGTGGTACAATAGTAGCACAATAGTAGTACAGAAATAGTATAGTAGTAGTACGATTATAGTACCGTAGTACAATAGTAGTACAGTAGTAGTACAATAATAGTGCAGTAGTACAATAGTAATACAACAGTAGTACAGTGGTAGTACAATAGTATTACAGTAGTAGTACGATAATAGTACAGTAGTACAATAGTAGTACAATAGTACACTAGTAGTACAGTAGTACAACAGTAGTACAGTAATAATACAGCAATAGTACAGAAAATAAAGCCAGTGAGCACATTGAAACCAATAAGCAAAGCATAAAGCCAGCGCCTGAAACCCTAAACCCTAAACCCTGAACCCTAAACCCTACAGCAAACCCTAACGAATCCTAAACTCCTAAACCCTAACAAACCCTAAACCCTAAGCCCTAAACCCTTCCCAAAGGGGGGTCGGTCCAGATTGGACCCAAAATTGAATTTTTTATACAAACTTTAGTACTGGAGAGGCCTTTGTCGAGCAAGGGTCCAATTCCCAATTCGGCGGTTCACCCTAGCAGCCCCCCCCAATAAGCAAGGCATACAGTAGCAGTACAATAGTACAATAGTAGTACAATAGTAGTACAGTAGTAGTACAGTAGTAGTACAGTAGTAGTACATACAGTAGTAGTACAGTAGTAGTACCGAGTCTCATTCCTGACGCCCCAATAAGCGAAAGAATTCTGCAAGAGATTTTCGGGCTTCAGGGCCAGGGTTTTAGGGTTGGGTGGGGGTTTGGGTGGGGGTTTAGGTCG